TGGATTGTTCTAGCTGAAATTTGTTAATATTTATTTATCATTACTTTAAATTATTTTTTATTTTTTATTTATTTATTTAGTGAGTCCTCTAGGAGTTTTGTCTCATGGTTCTTTCAAATCTCATATTTTAGAGTTCATCTCTTAGGAACAAATGGAGGCATTGCAAATCCTTAACTTGAAATCACACTATGATTTTTGTCCAAATTTTCGTATTTGTTTGATTCAAAATTGTCTTTATTAGTTTTTTTTTTGTTAATGAGAGGATTATTATGAACTTTTCTTGAATTTCATGTTATGAGAGTCATGGATTTCATGCATGTCACAACTTGAATACTTCCTTCGTTTTTTGTTGTTTGACATTTAAAGTTATGCACAAGAATTAAGAAAAAGATTGATATTTTAGTTTTTTAAAGTATTTATTACTTATTTTCCTGTTATACCCTTTAGGTGATTGGAGAAGAAATAGGTACATTAGAAAATGAATAAACACATTGTTCAGTAAATACATATTAATTATCAAGGATAAAAATAAAAAAGAAAATTAATAAGTTATTGATTTTAGAAAAGCGACAATGAAAAATGAACAAAAAAATAATGCAAAATGACTATAAATAAAATACGGAGGGAGTAGTAGTTTTGTTTATTATTCTCCTAAGTTTAAAGTTGTATTGCTTTTAGTGCAAGATCAACTTGAGTATGGTAAATAGATTGTTACATGCTAAATAAAAGAAGAGTTACTTAATGAGGAGTATGTAATAATGATATTTTGACACTCCTTAAATAATAACTATTTCTCCCTCAATTTTTTTTTTGTTTGACGTTTAAGGTTTATACATAAGAATTAAGAAAATGATTGATATTTTAGTTTCAAAGTATTTATTACTTATTTTCCTGTTATACCCTTTAGGTGATTGTAGAGGAAATAGATACATTGAAAATGAATAAACATATTATTCAGTAAACACACATTAATTATTAAGGGTAAAAATGAAAAAGAAAATTAATATGTCATTGATTTTAAAAAAATGACAATGAAAAAAGAACAAAAAAATAATGGAAAAAAACTATGAATAAAAACAGAGAGATTATCATTTATCTAAAGGACCTCTTAACTTTTTAGATCTCTTAACTTCTTAGATAGAGTTGAGATGAATATTTTGAAATATACTTTACTTAGAATTTTATATTTAGGTATTATTATTTTAATGTTATTGAAATATTTTTTCAACATATTTTATTTTTGTAATGTCTTTCTATTGTATTGAATTATTCTTGAATGTTATTTTGATATAATAGAGTTTCCTTTTTCAATAATATTAACTATGTGATCTTCATATGATAACAAAAGATGAAATATTACTGAATAATGTAATGTAGTAAGTTAATGGTTTAGAGTTTAGTTAACTCTAGCGAGAAGGGTATATAAGATTTTCTTTGAGAACGAAACCTCATAAGTTCATTCTCAAAGAAAATCTAGAGAGAAGTTTTAAAGAGAAGAGGGTTATGGGCTAGAAAGCTTGATTTTGGCGGATTGAAGTCTACGGGTCAACCGTTCAAGAATTTTTCTTCTTCTTCTTCTTCTTGGCTTTTCTGAGTCAATTTTCAGGTAAGGGAAGCTAGGATTGTGATAGATTGGTTGCATGTGAGTTTAGAAACTCAATTGATGCATGATATGGAGGTTGATTTGCTGATTTGAGGGATTCTTTACAATTTTCGGGGTTTTCGAGCTAAAACGGGGTTTTGGTCGATCTTGATGAATCAGATGAGTGCATGTTGTTTCTAGGACTTGAATTGAACTAATTTTGGTGCATGGATTCTATCTCCTCCATTGCATGTGGGTTCTTTTCTGAGTTTTAGGTGTGGTGACCCAAAAATGGTGAAGAACATGGTGCCTTTGTCATCAAACGGTTGAGCCATTTTAAAGGGCTCAGCCCTTTAAGGGCTGTGTGATAGAGGAGGGTTTCTGGAACCAAAGGGTTGAGCCGTTTCAAAGGGCTGAGCGCTTTTGAAATGGCTGAGCCATTTTGAAGGGCGGAGCCCTTTAGGGGCCACGAGCTAGGGGAGAATTCTTGGAGGTAAAGCGCTAAGCGCTTTGGAGGCGTTGAGCGGTTTTCTTATTTCAGAATTTGACCCTATAGTCGTCATGAAAGTTGTAGCCTTGGATTGTATCTTTCTAATGGCGTTAGAATCACCTAAAAAGAAAGTCTAGAACTCTAGTTATTGCTATTTTAGTGAACAAGGTTCAAGTTGTCAGCATTGAATATATCTGTTACGGGTTTTGACATTTTTAGCCAAGTAGATGATTTATTTAGAATTTTGTGTCTTCATAAGAGTTGTATATTATCCTCTTATATTTCTTTTGAGATATGTTTAAGCTTATTTGGATGAGTATAACTCTCTGTGTGTTGTATTCTTTGACAGTTGTCGAAGGGAGATGCATGTTATTTTGAGGTGTTAATTAGGTGTTATCATGTGCATTAAAAAGTTGTATGATACTATGTTGTATAGTTGGTTCATATATGTATGATATATGAGGTAAATTGGTGCTTGATTCATATGTATGCTTCGTAATGATATATATATGAATGTTTAAACATGATATGATATATATGTATGTTTATATGAGAATAATATTGATCATAGTGGTGAATTGACTATGTATGATGTATGATGCATTGTTGCATGTGAGGCCTTATGGCATGTGTCTAGCCTAGGACTTGAGGAGAGGGAAAATGTTTTCAAACTAGAAGAGCTTACATAGAGTTCTTGAGAGTGGTGCTTGGATAGGCCACTAATTTAGATGAGAGTGGTGCTTGGATAGGCCACTAGTTTTGGGTGATAGTGGTGCTTGGATAGGCCATTGGTTTGGGTGAGTCTCCTCTATGTCCTTAGCTAGTGTTGGAGCGGGATTATGAGGTTGAGAGTTATTCCCTTAACCAAATACTAGGGAAAGTGCGTGGTTCCTTGCAGATAGTCAGTGGGCGAAATCCAAGTGACTTGGTAATGCATGTTAAGGTCGTGGTAAGTCTATACCCAGTTGTGTTATACTTGACGGTAGAACTAGACTTCCAAGTGTGTAAGTGACATCACCCGAGTAAACCTGAGTGGGGATTTATATCCTGGTTAGCTATGACCGAGCAAGCGCATTGGGCGTGAAAATGGTTGGGGTAGTTTCAGTAGGATGAGATGTCACTTATATTGCTCTATTGTTAGGGAGATCTCCTAGGTGAATGCGTGACAATGCATTAAATGATTTATATGCATTGATATCTGTCATTAGTTGCATTTACTGCATGAGTGTATAATAGAGTGTATGGTGTGACTCTATGAGAATGATTGGTGATTTGATGATGGTGTAGCATAGATGTTTATTTTTATGCTTACATGATTGATTTTTAAACTTTAGCTTACCCTTCTGTTCCATGTGGATAGACTTTATGAGAGCAGGTCAGGGTTAGGTTGGAGTCGATGTGGCCACTAGTGAGGCATTAGATGTTTTGTCCCAGTGTCAGAGTTACTGTTGGAGTAACTGATAAGGTTTGCTTGACCGACACTAGGATAGTATTATTTTGGATGACTGTATATACATAGTACTATAGTTTGTATATAAACATTTGATTTTTTTATCACTAACTTTACATGTATATTTTGTTATCCAACTTAATATTCTATTTTAGATGACTAGTGTAGTTAACACAATTATTCTGAGTGTAGGGATCATAGTGGGTCATTACAACTAAATTTAGAAACCACATGCTAGTAAAGATTAAAAGAGTTTTGTTTCTTTAATATTTTTCCTAGTTTAAAAACCAGATAATCTATAATCAATAAATCTATAATTTATAAATAAAGTCTTTATTTTTTTTTTGAATACATAAGTAACTAATTTTAAAAATTATTTAAAATTTGTAATTTTAAAATCTATTAATTTGTAATCATGATTACAATAAGATTGAGACATGTAGCAAAAAAAAAGATGGAGACTCAGTACTTAAAAGTTGTCGATTTCTTTTTTAAAACTCATTTAAATCTATAAATAATTAGAATTAGAATTTAAAATAAACTAGACATACAAAAATGATTTAAAAAATTTACTAAAAATTTATGAAGTTTAAAAGATTATGTTTGATTTAAATCAAAATATAAGTTTTTTAATTTATCAAATTATTAAAAGTTCTAAATATGTCAATAAAAAAAAATCACCAGAATAATTACTATATTTGTAAACTTTTTTACCATAAAATAATTCTCTTATAAAAAAAATAAAGTCATTAATTCCTTAACCGTAAATAATAAACTTTAAACATAATACCTTTTTAATTTATCAAATTATTTAAAACTTTAAAATTAAAATTTTTAAGTTAGTTAGTTATAAAAAATCACCAAAATAATTGAGAGAAAAATAATTTTAAATGAAGCTTGCAAGGAAGGGAAAAAAATAAACATAAAAAATACAAGAGAATCATTTATAGAATCTATTGTGAGTGGCCTGATGCAGATAAACTTATTTAAGTAAAAATCAATCTAATGGTCTGAAATCATGTTACATGGTGAACAACCTCTATTACTAGATCATCGTAGTCTTCATTTTAATTATCATTCTAACTTGACTATACATTATTTAAAACATGCTATTTAAGTTTTGATTTTTTTTGTATTTTCACTTTTCTATTAAGTTTGTGTCTTTAAATATTTATTTTATACTTGACTATACATATTTGTATCATGCAAATAAGTCTTTAAAAACAAAACTATCATGTCTAAGATTAATTACTTTTATAATAATAAAAGTTTCAAATTATCTTAGTTTGGGATGGATCATGAGGTAGACATGGATGAACACAGGATACTAAGAGAAGATAAAACCTGCACCTATCCACTCTGTGACACCCGCATGTATACGTAATGATTTGTTATTTATTATTGAAAGTTAGTATTAAATTACTGTCTCACTCTTTCATGTATTAATTAAAATAGTTAGAAGCGTAAAAATGTATATTCAATCTTAATTACGATAAAAACTACTTTCTCATGAAAATATAACGTATAAACTGTAAACTATATTACAGTTGCGTGACATCCAGGAAGAAGAAAGAAAAATGATTTCCATGTGTTGTGTAAGATATTTGACACTTGACATTGAGAACAAAAGCAAGGTGGCGATGAGAGAAACCGCCACATCACGACATCACGACAAGGCATAAAAGGAGGGAATGGGAAAGCAAGGAGAATTCTTCCAAACCTCAGAGTGCAACTTGAGCATCTCCATGGCCTTGTCTTTCAAGTACTTACCACGATCCGCCTGAAGCAGCATGCAAAGCTTGGCCACCGTTCCCACCCTCAGCATCTCCTGCAGGACAACGTTGGTGCCGGAAAACTTGGAAACCAGCGACAAAACAAACACGGCGCTGTCGTCCACCGCCGCGGAAACCCTCATCATCCTCTCGGTGACCACCGCGATGGAGCCCTCGTGGCTGAGAAACTTGGCTCTGCCGTTGGCGCAGGAGCAGAGGTGGAAGAGAATCGCCAGCGTCAGTTCCGTGACTCGCTTCTCCGGTCCGGTTAGCTCGATCTCGATGAGCTCGTGGACCAGACCGGATTCCACCATCATGACCCGGTTTCGGCCCAGCGAGCATGCGCTTAGCAACACTTGCAGCGCTGCGCTCACGCCTTGCTGGCTCAGCCCTTCTCTTAGGACCCTCACCATGCGTTCCAGGAACTCCGGCTTCACTCTCTCCAGAATGTGACACGTGTCGCTTTTGTTTATCACTTTTTTTAGTACTAGAACCGCGTGGGACTTCACGGCCATAGAGTTTTCCATGTTCTCACGGCTTAGAATCCATGTTAGAGAATCCACTATCTGCTCGTTTTCCTTTAAAAGCAGCGCACACTGCAAAAATTCATAATTTAAGTTAAATTATATTTTTATTATTTATTTTATTTTTAAGATATGATTTTAGTTTTTTTTATTGATCACATAAAATGTGAAAAGAAATATAAATTTAACAAAAATCGTTTAGAAAATAGATTTTACAAGCAACTAGACAAGAATATGATTTTTTTTTTATTGTTTGTTGAACTTATTTTCACACTATTTTTTATTTATTATATTTTGATTATTTTTAGTTTGAACATGTTTGGATTCAATAATTTTTATTCAAATGAATTTAATAAGATGAATTTTGCGTCTTGAATTGTGGAAAAAAAAAATTAAAATTACGTTGCAAAAATGGAAAATAATCAAGTTTTAGAAAAAAAAAAATAAATTCACCTAAATTTAAAAAATAAAGTACTAATTACAAGATAATGAAGTTTTTGTTTTGTTTTTTTTTACAGCAAAAGATAAAGAAGTTAATAACTAATTCTTTGAATATATATATATTTCTTTTTAATTTTGTAGGGAGACTCACTTCTTCTGCGGGGATCTTAACGAATTGCAATATACTAAGGGCTTCTTCAAGACCCTTTTGGAGTTGGCCATTGCGGTGACAATTGACGATGAACATGATCATGGCCCTAGGCACACGCGCCTCAAGCAAGCACTTTTTGTTCCTCTCGTTTTCCGCGGCGAGAAGCTCCAACTGCGCGAGGCTTTTGTGTTGCATCTTGGGGTCATCGAGGGCTTTGAGGAGCTTCACCACTTGGATTCTGTTGAGTGGGGGTTTCGGGGTGGGAATGCGATCGATGCCTAGTGAAGCGTTTTGGGTGCACCAAGCTTGGATCAAGCGTCGAAGGGTGTGGTTAGGTGTTAGGTCAGAGTCTCTAGCAAGGGCTTGTTTCGACACGGGGCATGTTGTGTTCTTGTTCGTGAATAGCCAATGTTCGATGCTTTCTCGATCGTACGTTATGCCCGTTATGGCCGTCACGGGGTCCTTCATGATTTGGAGGGATATTGGGCAGATGAAGTATTGAGGGACTTCGATTTCTTCCATGTTTGGAAAGTGAACTTTAGTTTTGTGCAAAGTTAATTAGCACGAGAAGAAAAAATATTGCAAGGTTTTATGTGAAGGGAGAGTGTGAAAGGGAGCATGAAAGAGAGGTTACTAAATGGTAAGAGAATTAATGCGGCTTGGTTTTATATATTTTGAATCGTGGAGAGTTGATTGTTTGGTCTTGGGTCAAGGGTCCAAACGCGACCTATAAATATTTATGGCGGGTTTTAATTTCTTCATTCTACGTAACCGTTCGGTGGTCAAAGGAAGAAAAAGTGACAAAGAAAACGGAGCCAAAAATAATTAAAGCACAGGGAATTAGTTGTCGTATGTGTAGTTTAGTAACGTATGGGCATTACATGCTACATTTATATATTCCTTTAATTATCTCTATGGGTTACCCTACCCCTAGTTCACACGTTGAATAGAAGATTTATTTAGCAAAAGATTTCATGTTCAATTATAAAAGTTCGATTAATCACGATATATATTTTTTTAATTCACAAAAAAAAATCACGATATTTTGCATACTAATTAGGTCCAATCTCCAATTAAAATTGCGTTAAACTAGGGTTTTGTTTATTTATTATTTAAATATGGCAATATTAATGTTGGTAAACAAAGCAGGACAAGATTCGTTCAAATGTGGAGATTATATTATATTGGGTGTTTCTATTTTGAGGTCATGCATCTGCGTTTGTATCTTTCTGCCTGAAAAGTGAGCTATTAAACGCATCTTAATCATGGTTGGAATGGAAGTCAATCATTTGAAAAAGAAAAAAATAAATAATAACGGAATGCTCTTTCCTACTACATCTGAATCTGATCACGTGGTCAAGTTGCAACAATTGCTAATAGTTTCTATTTTTCTTTTTTGTATTTGTTCAACATAATAAATATGAATAGATACGTTTCACATATCATATACTATACAAAATTAGAGGCGCCAATGGAGCGTCATTATCATATTTTCCTATTAGTATGATGACAATATAAAAATATGTTATCGATTATTTGATTGGTTTCCAATATATAGTCTCGTGTTGTCATCTATATCTTCCCTTTAATATCTCTTATAAAATTCTCTCTTAAGAAATAATTTAATTAGTAATTTAGATAATAATCATAAGTGTCAAAGATAGTAAAATTATATTTTTAATAATTTTTGTAAAATATAAATTTAACCATTCTAACAATTGTTTGATATTTTTACTAATTAGACCAAATTTATAAAATTTTATACAATTTTAAAAATATTTGATAATTTATATATCACATTTTTTTATTTTAATATATAATATAGTATTCATAATATATGTAAATATCATTTTAGTAACTTATAGTGTTTGAGACTATGAGTTTGTTTGTATAAATTTCTCCAAAAATATTTCTAAGTGAGAAAAATAGGAAGAAAAAATGAAATTAGCTTTTCTATAAGTCAAATTTAGCTAAAACATAAGCTAATTTGTAAAAATTCTCTCATATTAGTTTATTCAAAATCTCATTTATGTATAAATTGGTTTAACTTATTGAAAAAATTATTTCAATTTTTCTTCTTTTTTTCTTTTTCTAGCTAGAAGTACTTCTAGATAAGTTTATTCTAATAGATCCTATATAATGTTTGGTTGGAGAGAAGTAGAAGTAGGAGGAATTTTTTAAACCTTCTGTTGTTTACAATTTTTAGCTACTCTCCAATATTGGGAATTTGAAGGGGAGGGAAGGAGTTTTAAAATATTTTAAATGCAATGTTTAAAATATTTTTAATTTATGTTTCTGAATTTAAAATTATAAGGTTACAAAGATAAATTGAATTTAAAAATTTATCCCCTTCATTTGTGACCTTAGTGAAAATCATGTCTTACGAGTGTAAATTAATTCTAAATTATTAACTTTAAAACACTATATAAATCATATTCATAAGTAAAAAAATAATAATAAAAGAGTTATCTCTTGTCATCTCCATTAAAATCTCTCATCCCTTACCGACCCCCTTTGTTAACCAAAAAAAATTGTAACTCATTCATATTCCTTTCTTCTTCTCCACTAAATTTCTCTTATCCCTCATTTAAACTAAACAAATCCAACATATATCTTTTGTTTAGAATTGAAAAAATTGGTTTTGGACTAACCCAAATTTATCCCACAAAATATAATATAAAGTTTAAGCCTTAAATTTTGAATACAAATAAAATATGAGCATTTTCAACATGCATTAAAATATAGAGTTTAAGCCTTAAATACAATGCAAATAAAATATGAGCATTTTCAACATGCATTGAATCATGTCTTGATTCGATTTAAATTTGCAAAATTTGATTAAAAGTTTAAAAATAAATCTATAACTTTTGTAGAACTTTAGCTTATTGAGATTCAAATTGAATATATATATTTTTTACAACATGCTGTAATTTGTAAATCGTATTAAGTAAGCTCTATTTTATCATCTTTATTTTAAATAGTTAATACAATTAATCAATTATATAGATGTAACATGTAAACTTTAGACTATTTGTTAAATTGAAAATTACACCATTGCTTATATTTTAATATAATATCTCCAACAAATTATTAAAAGAATAATATAAGTAACAATGAATTAGGAGTAGGGATGACAAATATATCCGTACCCGCGGGTAATACCCGAACCCGTCCCGACTTTGACGGGAAATACCCGATTTGACCGGGTATGGGTACGGGTACGGGTATGTACCCATTTTTAATTTAATAACCACTTTCAATTTAATTATATTAAAGAATTTTAATATTTTTTATGTGTGATTATTTATTATAATATGAGATAAAGAAATAACCTAATTATAATTATAATATAATTAAAAAAATAATTTAAAAATATTATATTTATAAAAAAAAATTTTGACGGGTACGGGTACGGGTATACCCGATACCCGACGGGGACG